ACAACCCATTAGTAGTAAGCTGGAATTTCCCATGACCACTGCCTGTCCATGCCATTTACATCTGATCAGCCATGGGTAGCCTGTTGCCATACACCAGAGTACTGGCTTGGGAAGAGGTATAAGTCTAAGAGGATTTCTAAGAGGATACTGAAACATTGAACAGTAACTGTAAAATGTATTCAAATTATAGAACTTTATAATATCAAACATGTAGGTGATTCCAATTACATAACAAGAAATGTAATCAGAAAGCAATGAATCATTAAAAGTATCTTGCAGCATACAATAATTTCACAGAAATTCATTAATCTATATCATAAAATTAAAATCTAGGTATCTAAGACATTATTCTGACACTGGATGGAAAGTTATCTGAAGATTACAATATCTGATTACTGGCAAAATGATAATGAATAATCTGACAGCTGTATCAGTTGATAATTCCTTCAGTGCAAATTCTTCACTTCACAAAAAGGTGTACAAAAGCAGTGAATGATGTAAAACCACACATATGAATTCTTTATACAATAAATGACTAATAATACAAATGAAAAGAAACTGAACCTACAAGCAAGTTTAATCATAAAAAAAACAACTTTCTGAGCATATTTGAAGAAAATAAATCCGTGAGCAAATACATATATAAAAAATCTGTGCAAACAATTTTCAAAAAATGTATTATCTTTGCACTAAACATGAAACAAACAAAAAGAATTCAACCACTTAAAAAATGAACATGAGAATGTTCTGAGCTTGAAAAGAAAGGGCCCTCACTCCACAATGCTATGAATATGCTCTTGTTATATAAGATACACCCATGAATTTTGTAGACTATTTAGAACATAAGATTTTCTGTCATTCATGTATCCCTGTAATTACAATACAAAAGACAATATAAAACACTATACCATACAACCATTTATTATTATAAATAAACTTTTTTAAAACCTACAGCTCCAAACTGAAGCACAAAGATATTTAAGTTGCTGATGTGTGTATATAATGCCTGTGTTTTATGATAAAAAATTAGCCATTACTGATTTGGTCAGTTTTCTGCTCAAAAAGAACAGCTGCTTATTATTTTGATGCCCATGAAAGCATAAAACATTCTTCAACAGGGATGAACTGAGTCACTACTTAGAAAGCATAAAGAACCACTAATCATGCTCTTTCATTCATATACTGATTTTATATTTATCTGTCCATCAACTTACCTGTTTATCATCTAACTAAAAGGGCCTATCTTACCTGATTTTACTAAATATTTAATTTATGCATTCCTCTAACAAGTCTATTTACCCATCTATCTGAATACCTTTCAACCATTCAATGTATTCCTAACAATTTATCAATCTTTCTCATCATCTTATCTTCCTATAAGCAATTCTAAAATATAAAACAATACATCCCTTCAATTCAAAGAATCAAATCAAAACAATATCCAAACAAAACAAAACAATAAAATCTTACCTAAACACTACACATCAAATAAGAATAAGAACAACTTGCACTAAAAGAACAACTTGCACTAAAATAGAAACACTTACTCTGTCTTGCTGGAGTTGTAAATATACAAATTTCTGCGGCTCTTTGTTTTTGCTCTCAGGCTTTGGGGTGGGCTTCTCTGCCGTCTGCTGATCAGCCATTTCGGCCGTCTGTCAGTCCTGCGGGTAAAAGAAGGCAAGTGAGTATGTCTGTCGACTTTAGTTTTCTGCATTTTGAAGTGGCAAATGAAAATCACACGCGATTCTATGAGGGTCGGAACTATTTCAAATGGGCAACTATCCACAGATGAGATGACATCAAACAATGCTATGGCCTTCGTACTTCTTGCTCTAGCAGCTGCCAGTACCCTCCATCGCATATATTCAAACAAGACCGAGACTGGACAGGTTCCTTAGCTGACAATGAGACACCTGTGATGTCTAAAAGCTTATCCTGCTGGAAAATATAAGGTGGAGTTTTACTGATCATTGCCTGATTGTGATATGCGGAGACACTGTTTGATGCAGAGATCTGTGAAATCTGATAAGTGACTGTAAGATCAGCTTTACTTTGTAGATGTTATTCATTATAAGTAGTGGTCTTGATTTGTTTATTCTGCATATGTATGCATATGTGTATGTATGTATGTATATATGTATCTATGTATGTATATATATATATATATATATATATATATATATATATATATATATATATATATATATATATATATATATATAAAAATATGTATGTATATATGTTTGTATGTATGTATTTATGTATCTATGTATGTATGTGTATATATATATATATATATATATATATGTATGTATATGTTTGTATGTATGTATTTATGTTTGTATGCATGCATGTGTTTATACATATATAAACATTATATATATACATATAGTCATATATATAAACATATATTATTTCATTAAATATATATACATATATGTGTGCCTATGTGTGTGTATATACATATATATATATATATATATATATATATATATATATATATATATATATATATATATATATATATATATATATATATATATATATATATACATATATGTATATATGCATATACATACAGATATATACAGATATGTTTGTATGTATATGTATATATGAATATGTATATATAAATATATAATTGTATATGTATATAAAAATATGTATATGTATATATGTATGTATATATGTATAAGTAAATATATGTATACATGTGTAAATATATTATATATACATATACACATATACATAAATATACATACACATATATACACATATATGTATATATATAAATATAAGGATATACATATGTATGGATATACATATATTTGTATTAATATATATACATATACATACATATATACATATACATACATAAATATACATATGTATATGTATATGTATATGTATATGTATATGTATATATATATATATATATATATATATATATATATATATATATATATATATATATATATATATATATTATATATTCATTATATATATATATATATATATATATATATATATATATATATATATATATATATATATATGTATACATACATAATACAAATGCACACACACATATATATATATGTACATGTATATATAAATATATATACACACATTTTTATACACACATATATATCATATATATACATAAACATAAACATAAACACACACACACACACACACACACACACACACACACACACACACACACACACACACACACACACACACACACACACACACACACACACATATACACATACACATATACACATACACATATATATATAGTCAACATATATATACATATTCAACATTTACATATCTATCAATATATCCCTATACAAACTCAACAAAAGAAGTTAAATCAAAGATTCATATAAAAAAACTTTAAAAAACAAATTACCAAAATGACCAAACATCACGTCATATAAAAGACTACGAAATTTCACTAAATTCATTTTTTGAGAATGCTACAAGAAATAGAAAATACTTTGCTACACAAAACCTTCTTTTAAAACCAATAATAGTCCTATATAATAAACTTATACACATACATAAACCAACTAGTAATAAAACACAGCAACAGTAAAACATTAAACATCAAAATATATGTTATGAATAAAATGATGCGTTTGATATATAAGGTGACTTTTCTCGTACAAGCTGTATAAAACATATTAGTTATTCATATGTACATTATTTCATTCAATATTTATCAAACTAACATCAATATTGATACTTTATCATAAAAATCTAAGGCTTGAGAAAAGTATGTTTATCTTTACACTAATGTCACCTTTGCATAATTCAGTACTCTATAATAATGAGAAAAATGAGATTAATAACATCATATTTCAAATTTCAATTAACTAATAACATTAACAATACAAAAATCAATAAAACATATTATAATATAATTATAATTCAGCAAAAGATGGATAATATCAACACATTGTATATAATTACACTAACACACATCATACCTTTTGAGAAGCACTTTATAATAGTAAAATAGATATTTATTATTTCAAATATTTTCAAAAACTTATTATTTAACAAGCTAATAATTAACTTGCATTCAATAATATATAAACCATCTAAAAACACTGATATATGTAAACAATTTGATCAAAAGGAGATTAAATCCTCATAGTTTCCACAACTGACATTATTCTATCCCCAAACCATATCAAAAAGTCATAATAAAAGGCCTAAAATTATAATAAGGATAAGGACACTTCACATTTACACAGTGTCAATGACTTTCCCTGAATCATGTGAATTAACAAGCATATATATCTTCCCTCGTTCACCCTCGGAATGAGAAAAAGTTAAACATAACTCCCTGCTATCACTCATGGACTCTAAACCCCCCCAAAATCCGATCTGAAGGAGGAGGAAGAGGCAGCCGCTGTTGCAAGGCAATTGCAAGCACTTGGCCGAGAGCCTTCAGGACTCTCCCTGGCACGACCCACATCAAACGTCTCATTCCGCCATAAAACGGACCATAATTAACCTTGAAACTCACTCCCAGCGCAAGCCCGATGGTCCCTTGAGCCAAACCTGCCCCCCTGCATCGAGTACGACCTCCGAGGGCGAGCCAAAGGGCAGAAACGCGTCGCCGTAACTCGTACTGCCCGCGACTCCCCGACATATCAGCTGATCCCGGGCCTCCTGGAGCACCCAAACCTCCTCACACTTTTTGCATAAAAACGCCCTGGAAATCCTCCCTGGGAAGTGGCCCCCTGGCATTTCCCACCGAGGGGACGTCGGCGATGCAAAAACCCGCAAGTATCACGAGGAACAAGAGGTCGTCATTGAGTAATTAGTGAAAAAGAGAAGAGGAGCTGGACGCTTACCTCGGCCTCCTCCTGCGAGTCACCATGTAAGGTCGGGGAGGCAAACAGAACAGCCAGGGGGAAGAGCCACCTAAGACCTCTCTCTTTTCTCCCTTTTAGCGTGGAGGGACGAGATTCATGAATAAAATCACGATCTTCCACGGGCAGAGATTACACACGTGCCAAAGACATGAGGGATAGAATGCGTTTTGTACTTTAAATGCATGGGTCCCGTAGTGAGGATTCCCCTGCGCGAGAATGGCGGGTTAAGCTGAGGGGTTTGCTTTGGCTATTGCATGTTGCACAAAATCGGCTGCTGAGGGGCTGCAGAGGCCGATTTTATGAGGGATTTGTGCAGATAGATTGCCTGCATGTGTGGTCTTTCGATAGCATTTCTCAGGAGGGATATGGCACTATTCAAAGCATTGAGTCAATTGAATATTGAATGAAATCTATAGAATGAATATGTCTATTCTTTCCACCTAATACATACTTATCTTTTGTGTTTTTGGGTGTATCTTTGCACTTATGACTCGCTATTGTCTAGAAAAGTTGGATTTATTATAAGATTTTCATCAAAAGATCATCGTCATGCCATTCTGTTTTTGCACAAAACAATTGATTTCTTATGCACATTTCAGACACATCTTGACATAAAGGACTTCCAAAATAACCCAATAAGACTTTTTCATTGCATTAAACTCGGACATATCAAGAAATATACATAAATTCGCCTACAACATCCTAATTCCTTTATTACTACATATGAATGTAAGCCAGGGAGGGAAGAGCTGACGACATAACTGTAAAACGATTTTTCTCGTTAACAACGAAAATTATAGACCATAGAAGTTTTCAGAGACACACTATAGTTGTAGTAAAGAAAAAAAAAATTATAGATTGGTTATATATATTTGGGCTACGTTTGCAATGATTGAAATAAGGTAGAATGTAATGATGGGGAAAATTGCGTAAAATAAAGGAAACTGTTGAGTTTTCATTTATTAACCGGTACAAATTGTAATGTTAGTGTATGGTTTATTGTGGTATAATGAGGGAAATGAGAAAACATGAGCTTAAGTGTTGTTCTAAAGTAAACTAAATTGTTATGCCGTAAAAAGTATGGAAAGCAGATACGTTTCCGGCATACCAACTGTTAAAAGCTTAAGCAAAAATATTTTTTGAGGAATTAAATAATATAATAAGAATAGAGATACAATATCGCTATATGCATTAAAATGGTCAGCAGTTCAGAAGAATAATTTAGTAGGTAATTTATGGGACTGAAAAATATAATGAGCGAAGCCAACAATCCATTATATTCAGTATTGTATGAATTTCTCTCTTCTTTAGATATTGTAGCCGTACATCTTGACCCTGATTTACATAGCAAAACTGTAATGTGGTTTTATATATCATCTAAATCTGTTACGTGCAAATGATTCAAATTTCGTTTCTTCTCGTGAATTAAGTTGGTATCCCTGCACAGCCATTCATACCACGCAATTCTAGTTTCGCGTATTAGATATTAGATCAGCTGCGCTATTTTAAGACTAATGGATATCAGTTTACACATATATAATAGAAGCTGTCCTACTGATTATACTATTTCTTTTGTATATCTATTTAGCTTGAATGAATTATAATATGCCAGTGAACACGCGCTTGTGGAAATTCATCGGAAACATCAGCCATCTTTACCCACAATATTCTGAATGAATTTATCCTCCTACGAAGTTTCTTCTTTCAAAAACTATATGTACAACGGCGGAAAATCTCCAATATACTAAGAATTCTCAATGAATAATCTTAACACAATATGAAAATGAACATAATATATAGCAGGTTCCAGGGGAAAATCTAATACTCGAAACTATTTCTCTATGGACTAAAAATGTTTCACAACGTCATATTACAGTCTTCTATGTAAGAACTCAAAGGACTTAATGGAGATATTCTATAAAAAATGACCAATTGCTTAAAAACATTCCTTAGTTTATTCCTCATCCATTTAACAAAGAAATGGCGCTATAGATCCAACAAGAAAGAAAAGGGAATGGAAATAATTAAAGTAACTGCCTATGTCTCTCAAGGCTGTATATTCTACGACCACGACATAATTAACATCACCATTTAATAAAGTTAGAAATAATGAACGGAAACAAGTCAAACTAAAACTCCAAAAAAAAAAATAATAATAATAAAAAAAAATAAAAACATAATAAGAGTGACTCTCAGTCCTTTATCATGCTGGCTATTCAGATATCGAATGTGTAATCGTAGATTGTGATAACGATAAAATAATAACAAATAGAAGGGAAAAAAAATCGCCACATCACTTGCAAAGCTTCCATTTTATCATCGATTAATATCTTTTGTTTCTAATTTCAGTTTTTTTTTCCCCCGAGGCATTTCTGTCATAGAAGTCATTTGCAATAAGAAAATAAAGTACAAAGGGAGTTACTAATGGTTATGAATGCAGGAAAGGATCTGTGGTTTTGATTCGATGTATTATAACCAAAAACGTAAAAAAAAAAAAAATTATAGATTGGTTATATATATTTGGGCTACGTTTGCAATGATTGAAATAAGGTAGAATGTAATGATGGGGAAAATTGCGTAAAATAAAGGAAACTGTTGAGTTTTCATTTATTAACTGGTACAGATTGTAATGTTAGTGTATGGTTTATTGTGGTATAATGAGGGAAATGAGAAAACATGAGCTTAAGTGTTGTTCTAAAGTAAACTAAATTGTTATGCCGTAAAAAGTATGGAAAGCAGATACGTTTCCGGCATACCAACTGTTAAAAGCTTAAGCAAAAATATTTTTTGAGGAATTAAATAATATAATAAGAATAGAGATACAATATCGCTATATGCATTAAAATGGTCAGCAGTTCAGAAGAATAATTTAGTAGGTAATTTATGGGACTGAAAAATATAATGAGCGAAGCCAACAATCCATTATATTCAGTATTGTATGAATTTCTCTCTTCTTTAGATATTGTAGCCGTACATCTTGACCCTGATTTACATAGCAAAACTGTAATGTGGTTTTATATATCATCTAAATCTGTTACGTGCAAATGATTCAAATTTCGTTTCTTCTCGTGAATTAAGTTGGTATCCCTGCACAGCCATTCATACCACGCAATTCTAGTTTCGCGTATTAGATATTAGATCAGCTGCGCTATTTTAAGACTAATGGATATCAGTTTACACATATATAATAGAAGCTGTCCTACTGATTATACTATTTCTTTTGTATATCTATTTAGCTTGAATGAATTATAATATGCCAGTGAACACGCGCTTGTGGAAATTCATCGGAAACATCAGCCATCTTTACCCACAATATTCTGAATGAATTTATCCTCCTTCGAAGTTTCTTCTTTCAAAAACTATATGTACAACGGCGGAAAATCTCCAATATACTAAGAATTCTCAATGAATAACCTTAACACAACATAAAAATGAACATAATATATAGCAGGTTCCAGGGGAAAATCTAATACTCGAAACTATTTCTCTATGGACTAAAAATGTTTCACAACGTCATATTACAGTCTTCTATGTAAGAACTCAAAGGACTTAATGGAGATATTCTATAAAAAATGACCAATTGCTTAAAAACATTCCTTAGTTTATTCCTCATCCATTTAACAAAGAAATGGCGCTATGGATCCAACAAGAAAGAAAAGGGAATGGGAATAATTAAAGTAACTGCCTATGTCTCTCAAGGCTGAATATTCTACGACCACGACATAATTAACATCGCCATTTAATAAAGTTAGAAATAATGAACGGAAACAAGTCAAAATAAAACTCAAAACAAAAAAATAAATAAAATAAAAAAAAATAAAAACATAATAAGAGTGACTCTCAGTCCTTTATCATGCTGGCTATTCAGATATCGAATGTGTAATCGTAGATTGTGATAACGATAAAATAATAACAAATAGAAGGGAAAAAAAATCGCCACATCACTTGCAAAGCTTCCATTTTATCATCGATTAATATCTTTTGTTTCTAATTTCAGTTTTTTTTTTCCCCGAGGCATTTCTGTCATAGAAGTCATTTGCAATAAGAAAATAAAGTACAAAGGGAGTTACTAATGGTTATGAATGCAGGAAAGGATCTGTGGTTTTGATTCGATGTATTATAACCAAAAACGTAAAAAAAAAAAAAAAAAATTGATGCTGTGGGTGCGAATTCCATGCCGGTTTATCACAGCCAATTAGACTATTTGCGAAGAGGATGAATGAATTAATTGTTATATTGCATTTTAGCATGGATTCATGCCTGGTTGTCGATGCAGAAGACCTAATAAAGACGATAATTATAAGAAAAAAAAAAAAGAGGAAAAGACAGGTAAAACGTTACGTGCTTTAAGATTCACGATATCCCTATTTGGCAACTCTACAAGGCTATTTTTTCACTCTCTTTTCTTCTTTACTAATATTAAAGAAATTTCCAGCCATTGTTTTAGTCCATCAACTGTATTTTCGCATTCAGACTTTTTTATATATATATCATGCCCAGTTGTACTATTCATTCTAAAACAATACAATACAAGATGGCACGTATACAGAGCATGCGCGCACGTGTGTTGCATGTAAGGTCATTAATTGTTATGTTGCATTTTAGCACGGATTCATCCCTGATTGACGATACAGAAGACATATTAAAGACGATAATTATAAAAAAAAAAGGAAAAGGCATGTAAAACGTTACGTGCTTTAAGATTCACGATATCCCTATTTGGCAACTCTACAAGGTTATTTTTTCCACTCTCTTTTCTTCTTTTACTGATATTGAAGAAATTCTCAGCCATTGTTTTGGTCCATCAACTGTATTTTCGCATTCAGACTTAATATTTTTTATATATCTTGTCCAATTGTACTATTCATTCTAAAACAATATAATACATGATGGCGCGCACGTGTGTTGCATGTAAGGTCATTCTTGGAGAACATGTGCATTAGGCCCCGAGCACACTAGCCACTCTGTGGCACCACAAGTGGCTGCGCAAAGTGGCGGGCCAGAGCACACTAGCCACTTTTCAGAGCCACAAGTAGCGACCACATGTGGCGACCACATGTGGTTATGTTTTGAATACCCGGCCACATGTGGTCGCCACA